GTTCCAAGAGGCCCGAGGGCTTCTGAGAGGCCCCGCCGCCCTCTGAGAAAGGCCTCCCAATCCTTCCCTGACGCGAGAAGGGGGGCCACACCCGCGACGTGACGGGCCCCCCGCCCCAGCACCGAACGCACGCGGCCTGCGAGCCGCAGCCCCTGACCCAGCCAGGGGGGGGGGAGCGAACCTCCGCAGGCCGCGCCTGGCCGCCCTCGCGTTGGCAGGCCACGTCGCACCTGGAGCCCCGAAACGGTGCGGCGACAGACCGCGCGGAGACCTCGAAAATCCCCCAGGGCCTCGGCGCACGTCCTTGGGACCCTGGAGGCCCCAGTCGCCCAAAAGACGCCCTCGGAGAGGGCCTCGAGTCCCCGAACCGTGCGGTGACCCCGACTCCCCACCGACTCACCACACGGTGTGGTCACCACCCCGTTTGTCGGGGTCGGCCAAGAGAGGGCGTCCAAGAGGGGGGGGAGGCGCAATCATGGTCGGCGGCATGTGCGCGGCCCAGGGGGGGGAGCCAGGGACGTAATGGAATAAGAGGCGCCATGACATCTGCAGAAATACCGGCCCACGCCATGACATCCCTCTTTGCCGCTCCAGAGTTTGGGGGGCCCCCGAGGCAGTGCAGAGATGACAAGGAGCCGGAGCAGGATGAGGACCAGAATCGGGCGTTGCTCGAAGTACCCCTGGCCCAAGGTGCCCCCAGGATTCTCGGGATGGCCCAGACGGCCTCCAGGGCACCCCTCACGAGGCCCAGAGGACACCAGGGGCTCCAGAATGGCGGCAAAAGCTGGGGGCACCCTGGGCCAGGGGCACTTCTAGCAACACCCGACACGAGGAGGCGGGAGGATGAGGCGGGAGGAGGAGGAGGGTGAGGGGGACGAGGAGGAGGAGGAGGAGGAGGAGGAGGAGGAGGAGGAGAAGGGGAAGAAGAAAACGAACAAGAGTGCGAATACTAACAACAATAATACGATGACTGGTAGGAGCACACTTACACATACGAATGCGACGAGTAAGAATACGAAAAATACTACGAATGCGAATAGCAAGACGAGAACGAATAATAAGAATCATGAAATGAGTACGAATAAGAATGGACAGAAGAAAGAGGAATCGTACGAGTAATGTTCATGAAACCAAGAACGATGATGATAAAAGCAAGACTAGAAATACTACTCAGAAAAATACGGATAATGCGAAAGACGGGACCATACACATCTTGTGGCCAGCCAGACTACTTTTTGACTACACTTGAATACTCCTCCTTTAGAGGGACACAACCGACTTCGGAAAACCTCAGGGATCTTCCGACCCGGGTAAATCCAGACCCAGATCAATCAACCCTTGCAGAATCCTGCAAATCCTGCAAGAATCTTGCAGGAAGATCCTGCACCTAAACCCGGGTCAATGCGAAGGATACTGTAAGATCCTGCAGGATCCTGCAACCAAGCCCAGGTCAATGCGAGCGACCCTGTCCCTGCAGGATCCTGCAAGCTCCAGCGCTCTGGCTGACTCCCGTTTGCATTGACCCCCGTTTCAAGATGCACGGTTTCCCCCGGGGTCGCAGGCGACCCGAGGAGTAGGAGAAGGAGCAGGAGCAGGCGGAGGAGGAGAAGGAGAGGGAGGAGGAGGAGGAGGAGGAGGAGGAGGAGGAGGAGGAGGAGGAGGAGGAGGAGGAGGAGGAGGATGGAGATTGAGGAGAAGGAGGAGATGGAGGAGGGGGAGGAGGAGGAGGGGGAGGAGGGGGAGGAGGGGGAGGAGGAGGAGGAGGAGGAGGAGGAGGAGGAGGAGGAGGAGGAGGAGGAGGTGGAGGAGGAGGAAAAGGAGGAGGAGGAGGAGGAGGAGAAGATGGAGATTGAGGAGGGGGAGGAGGAGAAGGAGGAGGAGGAGGAGATGGAGAAGATGATGGAGATGATAAGGAGGAGGAGGAAGGAGGAGGAGGAGATGGAGATTGAGGAGGAGGAGGAGGAGGAGGAGGAGCGGTGGAGGAGGAGGAGGAGGAGGAGGAGGAGGAGGAGGAGATGGAGGAGGCCCCCGTCTCAAGGCTCCCGATAACCGCACCTCCTGCAGCCGCCAGCGCGGGGTAGGGGCTCCGGGGCGCGCGAGCTGCCGCGGCCTTCGGCGCGCGCCCCTCGGAGCCCCGGGGGCGGCTGCGCACGGCGGGGCGGCGGCGCGCGGGAGCGACACGCGCGCGGCGGCGGCGGTGAGGAGGAGGAGGAGGAGGAGGAGGAGGAGGAGGAGGAGGAGGAGGAGGAGGAAGAGGAGGAGGCGGCCGCGCTCGCGGGCGCGGCGGAAGAGGACGATCTGTTAATCTCAGGTCGGGTATGTCCCCCTACGAGGGGGATTGCTGGGCAGTTTCTCGGGGTGGAGGGCTCGGGGTGAGATCCATATGCGGGCTTGTGCACCGCGAAAATCCGTCCGTCTTGGGGTTCGCCTTTTGCAGGTGCGAACCTCGAAAGTCCATCGAAACGGCATTTCAAATTTCACCCTGTGCCCTCCACCCATTGGAGATGCTCGGGAGTTTAGGCGAAACATACGACGGCCCCCTTGTGGGATCACCATGCTGTAGAGCTGGGCTCGCAGTTTCCCGTACCAGTTGCAGCTTCCAGTTTCCACTGCTACACTTCTGCTTCTTGCTGCTGATTTCAGTTTCCACTGTTACAATTCTGCTTCTTGCTGCTTACTGTTCCTTGTTGATGGACCTCGCGAGGGGGGAGGCCCAAAACGGGTATTTTTACCACGCCCTGAGCGTGTGCTCTGAAGTGCTGTGGTGGGTAAAGATTGACACCCCTCACGCAGATCGGCGGGGTCAGGGTCCCAAAAAACATGGGATTTCCTACATTTCTGAAATTCGGTGGCACCTCTCACGCAGATCGGCAGGGTCAGGGTCCCAAAACACGGGGGATTTGCCACATTTCTAAAATTAGCTGGCACCCCTCATGCAGATCGGCGGGGTCAGGGTCCAAAAACACAGCGGATTTGCAAGATTTCTTACATTCGGTCGCACCTCTCACGCAGATCGGCGGGGTCAGGGTGCAGAAACACATGGGATTTGCAACATTTGTGAAACTTGCTGGCACCCCTCACGCAGATCGGCGGGGTCAGGGTAGGGTCCAAAAACACATGGGATTTGCAACATTTTTGAAATTCAGTGGCACCCCTCACGCAGATCGGCAGGGGCAGGGTCCACAAACACATGGGATTTGCCACATTTCTAGAATTTGGCGGCACCCCTCACGCAGATCGGCAGGGTCAGGGTCCCAAAAACAATGGATTTGCTATATTTCTGAAATTCTGTGGCACCTCTCACGCAGATCGGCAGGGTCAGGGTCTAAAAACATATGGGATGTGCCACATTCCTAAAATTAGCTGGCACCCCTCACGCAGATCCGTAGGGTCAGGGTCCACAAACACAAAGGATTTGCCACATTTCTGAAATTCGGTGGCACCCGTGACGCAGATCCGTAGGCGCCCAAACCTTATGGTTTAGCTTTTGCATCTCCCATTATCCGAGACAGGGGGCCGGCGGCATGGAGCGAAGCCCTTACGGATTAAAAAAAACACCAGAAATATGCCAAACATGGTCAAACATAATCCGGGAATCGTCCCCAAACTATTTTTGGCCTAGTTTGGAATGTTCTTCCTGTAGAGGAACGCGCCCGACTCAAAATTACGATAGGTTCGTGCGGCGTCGGCGCGCGCAAAGGTTTTCGACACCGCGTCGATCTCTCAACCTTGAATCGATCGCGACCCCGATCGGTCAGGCTTGAATTCCGTCGGGTCTATTGGCGTTACCGTGTTCGTCGGTGCTGCCGCGTCGCGGACTTCATCGGGGATCTTCTGACCTGGGTCAATCCAGACCCGGGTCAGTCAGGCCTTGCAGAATCCTGCAAGATCCTTAGCCCAAACCCGGGTCAATGCGAAGGATCCTGCAAGATCCTGCAGGATCCTGCACCCAAGCCCGGGTCAATGCGACCATGGCCCTGCAGGATCCTGCAAGATCGGGCGCTCTGGCTGACCCTCGTTTTATTGACCCCCGTCTCAAAGCTCCAAACTTCAACCTTGAACGCATTCGCCAGCGTCGCTAGCGCACCAACGCCGCATGAACCTACTGTAATCAGCTTCTGGCAAGTCCACTTGCGTGGCATTCCCCCGCATCTCGCCATCGCACGCCATGCCGTGCGCTGTTTTTTTTCGCGGGGTGCTCCAAGATGCTCCTTGAGGGTCCCCGCCGAGGTGGAATGCACACGTCCGAGCGATGCCAAGTCGGTCGAGAGCAGAGACAAACACCCTCAAAAGGAAAATCCCGACAAGCGAAGCCGCTTTTTGTAAACGCAGCCATGGGAGGGATGGAACGGGCCAGAGCTGTTCAACAAACGCCCAGGGCCGTTTATTTGGAGTCCCGAAACGGTGCGGTGACGGACCGTGCGGCGACCTCGAAATCCCCCAAGACCTCACCGCACGGTCCCTCACCCAACGGTTTTGGGACCCTGAGACATCCTCGGAGAGCGGCTCGAGTCCCCAAACCGTGCAGTGACCTCGAATCCCCACTGACTCACCACACGGTGTGGTCACCACACCGTTTGGGGGCCCCCGAGTTTATATAAACGCCAATTATGGTGGCTGGGGTGGTTGTTCCTCCCTTGCTTCATGGGCAAGGTCAGGGCGGACCAGCTCCAGGGGGGGGAAGACATCGGCCTGAAGCTGGCGGTGCCTCGCCGATAGGTCGCCGATAGGTCGGCGACAGGATAGCCTTGGCCACCAGAAAATAACTTCGAGCACCGAAAAAAATACCGAAACTCTAGGGCCCCTGGGAGACACTCGTCCGACACTCTCTCGGTCCCCGACAGGGGACCCGCACGGCCCTGGGCGGGGGTGACTATCGCACCCTCTCGGCGATGCTTGGGCGATTGGGGGTCGATGCATCCCCCCTGGGAGCCCGCTCCCCCCTCACCAGCGTTGCCCCTGACACCCTCATTCTGCGGTGGACAAACCTCCCTTTAGTAAACCTCCCCTGAGTGAAAACGACCTGGGACCGAAACCGACGGACCTGGACCCACAAAAATGACGGCCGCGCCGCCCCCTCGCGAACCGAAAACGGCCAATTCCTCAATCGACGTGTTTCTTTAAGGAGGGGGCTCAAATCTTGAGCCCCTGGCCATTCCGGACTCATTCTTTAAGGAGGGGGCTCAAGTCTTGAGCCCCCCGGCCAGGATGGATGGTTGGGGCCGGGGTGGTTTTTGGGGAGCGTTTTCTTCTTCGGCGCTTCGGCATTGGGTGGAAGGGCGGGGGAGGGGGGGAGGGTGTGGCTCCGGACCTCTGCTTGGCGCGACTGTTTGCAGCAGAGCGTCATACGGGGGAGGCTCCACCTGGTTGAAGCAGGCGCCAAAAACAGCCAAGATCTACTCCAGGGGGGGGAGGAGGGGGGGGTGCGAGGGCCCGCGCCGATCGGCAAAACAGTTAATAAAAAACGACCCCCTTATCGACCAGCAGGGCGGGATGTGGATACATCTGTTTTGGGGGCTCAGAGCTCCACCCTTGCGGCCCCCCCCGAAAGTGGAGAGAGAGGAGGCCCGGGCGGCAGCGCGGAGCCTGACGCGTCCTCCTGTCGAGCCGATCCGATCCGATGCGGTCCGCCATCTCGAAGAGCGCTGGGCCGAGAAGGCATGCACGCGAGCGCCGACGTGCGTGAAGTCGGGCGTGGCCCCCGACAGGCGGATCGTGGGCGAAAAATAAGAATTTGCCTGACAAAATACCCCAAACTCGTAAAACAAAGATTCAAAAAAAAACATCCCCAGACTATGTGTTGAGCATGTTTCGAAATTCCTCCTGTAGAGAGACACGCCCGACCTCACGTTGGATCGAGAAGGCATGCACGCGGGCTCCGACTTGCATGAAGTCTGGTTTGGGACGCACAGAGACACACTAATCCTATATGTCCTCCTTGGAGGCGCGCGTGCGACCCGAACATACAGCATACCCATCTTGCAGCACATCGTTTCCCGAGCGGGGGTGGCCAGAAAGCGCCCACCACGGCGCATACACTGTAATATTGCTCGGTGCGCGCGTCGCCCCTGGGGGGGCGACGCACACATAGCATTAGTCGGGGATGGACAGGACCCCCTTTAGCAAAACGTGGTTTCGTGAAAACGACCTCGGGCCAACACCTGGCGGCAGCAAGCCTGGAAAATGACGGCCGCGGCGCCCTCTCGAGAACCGAAAAAGGACGATTCACTAATCGACGTGTCAGGGTGGGGTTTCTGTCCACTCCCGAATTAGCATGTTAGGGTTAAGTCGGGCGTGTCCCCCTACAAGGGAATTTTCTACGAAAAAAACAAAGAGAGTCACAACATGTTCCAACATGGCCAAACGATACGCAAAACATAATCCCCTGACGATGTTGTGCATGTTTTTGAATACTCCTCCTGTATTGCAGGTCCGTGCCGTGTCGACCCTGGCGTTGGTTCCTGACACCGCGCTGGATCGTTCAACCTTGAACGATCGGCCGTCTCCGCAACGTCCGATCGTTCAACATCGACCGATTCTGGGCCGCCGTCGGCGTTCAACGTGGAACGTCGGCGGCGGGGTCGCCGCTGGTCGACACGACGCGAACCTACCGTAGAGGGACAGGCCCGCCTTAAGGTTAGGGTGACGCCGAGGGATCTCCGCTCGGGCCTCGCCGCGCCGCCCATCCCCCCCCCCCCCGACCTGCCGGGGGTGCCAGCAACGGTGGCCCTCGGGCCGTGCAGACCCCGGCCGGACTGCCTCCGAGCTCTCGACGGGAGCGCGGGCGCCGCAGTCCTGGTGCTGCCGTGAGGCCGGGCACGTGCCCCATGCAGGCGGATTTGGGGCGGAGCATGGAAGCGTAGTCGAACAAGTACTCCCGAAATGGCAACAAAAAGGATGGAAGAATCGTCCACGGACGACTGTTCACTCTTTGGGAATCTCTCCCCCCTGAAGAGAGGCAGGCCCGACTTCATGCTACTTTTGAGCGCTCCTGGAAGGTCAGGACCCCTCCCCCTCCTCCCCCCATGCGAGGAAGCCTGCCCAAAGCCTGCCTCGAACGGAGCGGGTGAAGCAGAGCCAGGGCGAACCCTGAGACCCTGGCGTCGCCGGTGCCGCCCCAGCTCGGGCCCCAGGAGCCCCGCGGCC